TAGTCCACTGTATGAAGAATTTTTGGGTATAATATGTCACAGTTTACTTTATTTTGCTATACTCACTTACATAAATGACATTAAAAAAAAAGTAATAAACTTATTTAATTAACATTACAGCAGCTAGTAAATTAGGCGCGGTCACTTTAAGAGACAATGCATCCATTATAATGATACATATCCGATTTCTTTCTCCACTGTTTACTTTAACTTAAGACATAACCGACAGTTTTTTCGAGGATACTCTCCAAGACGGGTATTTTGACATCATTTTGTATGCATTTGTTGGTACAAGAGCAAGAAGAGGCAAATTCGGTGTTCAAGCGCTTTGAGACGCGTCTCTCTGCGTGCGCCCTGTGCGCACAGAACAGCACGCGTGGGTGCGGAATTGGGCTCTTTCACATTTTTTTCTGTGTGCATGTTTAAACTGTGATTTGTATTTGTTTATCAGGTGCAGGAGGACATGAAGGAGAGCTCGGTTCGGTGTTGCTGTCCGTGAGACGCACCGAACACAGCGCTCGCGTGGGTGCGGAATTGGGCTCTTTCACATTTTTTTCTGTGTGCATGTTTAAACTGTGATTTGTATTTGTTTTTCAGGTGCAGGAGGACATGAAGGAGAGCTCGGTTCGGTGTTGCTGTCCGTGAGACGCACCGAACACAGCGCGCGCGAGTACTCAGTTGAGTTTTTCCACGTCTTGTGTTTGAATGCTTTAAAGTCTTTTGAATGTTTAAATTGGCAAGGCTTAAAAACACATGCAAATGATAAGCTTTCGTGACGCAGCCCGTCAACTGTCCTGAGCGTCTTTTTAGGCTGGCCGCAGCCAGTCGGTTGAGATCGCCGTGGGGCCCCCCCTCAGCCATGGGCCCCTATAATCGTCACCACCTTTCACCCCACTAGCGAAGGCCCTGGGTAGAATTCTGGGGGAAAGCATACTTTATTCATGTGTTTTGAGAAGTGAACAGATGTAATTTAAGCATGGAAAATAATAACTATAAACAGTATATAGTTTATAATTTGCATACAATATGCTTGTCAATGGGGTCTAAAACAGTGGTTCTCAGCGAGGAGACCAGTGACCACTAGGGGGCCTTGGCAAACTTTCAAGGCGGACCTAATAAATTGTAAAATTAGGTAAAGTTAGTTATATTAACATAATCTTGATTAAAATTATAAACAAAAACACTATAAATAAAGATGTGTAACATTAAACTGACATATGCATTATTTTTTATTTATTTTTATTACAACAGAAGTATCAGAGGTACATATCAGCCTAGATAGAACAGCCTTCAAATATCGTTTTGGGCAAAAGGGGGTCTTGGAGTCATTAAACTCTTATAAACGCGAATCATTTAAATAATTTGAAGACATATTAGACCCCTATGGACGTTTGACGAGGCCCCCTGGTGGGGAATCACTGTTTTCGACCTTACTGACAAACATAAGCTGTTCTTTGTCAATTATAAACATAATTACTACTAGTAGTACCATACTGTTCACTTTTATTATTTGTAATGCTCATACTACATCTGTTCATTTCTCATGAATAATTTAAGATTTTCCCCAGATTTCTACCATTTCATCAGAATCTCAGAAACTCAAAATACTGCTATAGAGGATTAAGAGGGCTTACATCTGTGAAAATCACATCAACTTCCTATATGGTCCAGAAATAACCTGAAAATAAAGGGAATTTTAAAAGGGCACTCTCTCACAGATTCTTGCTCCCATAAAAACATGAAAATATGTCTCAAACCTTAAATGTTCTGCATGCCCACTATAATTAACTAGGTACTTCCTAAAAGCATGACAGCTGAGACTTCAATCCTTCCCATTATAAACTGACCATAAAAGTGGAACTGTGAGTAATCCCGACCATTACATTTGGACTACATTTGAACTGCTTCGTCTAAGAGAAAAGGATGCTGTGGTTTAACCAAGTCAAATAAAAATTCTATACAAAATAAAACACTGAGTGGTTTAGTACATAGAGATGTTAACTCAAAAACACTTACCGCTCGCGAATAAGGGGAACAGAAAGAGTGTAAGTGCTCTCTTCATACTGATGTTGAGTGGAGTGAATATAGATGATCCGTAAAGTGTTCTTCAGCGATCCGTTTTTCTGAGCAGCACTCTGAACCAGATTTTATTATATGAGACGACAGACAAAAAAACAAAGGGAGAAAAACACGCTTTACATAAAGACTTTACACTGATGACAATTTACTGGTGATTTAACTTTATATCATCTATTATGCTGAAAGAGACACTATGTTGTTGTTTTTTCATTTTATTTTGAACAATAGCAAAAATCTCAGTCCAATAGACAGGCTACAATGGCTGAATGTTCCGTTTGTTAGTCAGGATAAGTGTTGAATAGTGCCAGGAACGACCACCACACGCTCAGCCTTTGTTTTATACAATAGCCCAACTATGGTTTCCTTCAAAGGGGCAGATCAGCCACTATTTCTTGTGTATTTAAGTTTTCTTTTGTTCCTTTTTTTTTATTTTTTACTTAATTAGATATTTAGGTATAATATGATCATATTAAGTATTGTTTGTGTTATTTGTGTGGTCTTGCTCTCATCTTTTTGTGTTACAGTGCGCTCTGTGTTTTTTTACAGGGCCTGCAGGTGTAAGTGTGTAAAGTGCAGATCAGAGCAGGTGTGGGGTGCAAGACTGAGCTTTTCAAAACTGCAATAAAACAGATGTTTTATAGTTGAGATATTACTTTATAACGACGTTTCTCAGATGTTTGTACACAGCAGATGCTTTACAGACATCTAACAGACATATTGGAGACGTATGTGTGCTATCTGGGTGTTTTTAAAATTATTTTATAATGTTTCCTGAGGTGCACTTATGTTCTATATATTCTTATGTCATTTTCTACCCTGATTTTAGCCCTCTCATTTGAACCCAGATAGCACACATACATCTGCAAGATGATTGCTTCATCTGGAAAGCATTTGCTGTGTACAAACATCTGAGAAACGTTTTTAAAAAGTCAGTTTTACATCAATTCTAAATTATAAACATCTTCACATCAAAGACATTTTCTAAACATCTGACCTAAAATGTCCTAAAAAAAGTATTGCAGATGAGCAAAAAATACGTCTTCCAGATGTAAACACACACATCAAATACACATCTCTGAGATGTACGTGTGCTATCAGGGAACGCTCCATTGGAAGGGGCGTGTCTGCTGTGAGAACTCAATGTAAAAGCCCACTGCTATGAGCGGCTAACATGTTAAGCATTGAAATAAGTATATCATATAATAATAATGAAACATGTGAAATAAGCATTACATGTGTAACTCTAAAAAATGTTTACTGTTTTTACCCGCCGTCAAGATTCAACTAATCATGAAAAGTGCTGATTATAGCATTAAACAGGCCTAAAGAACTACTCTCATTGCATCAAAGGTTTAAATTTATTTAAATAGGAGGCTCGTTGAGCAGTGTAACCTGTGCCATTGATTATAATGGGAGTTTTGGCAAAAATCAAATATGTATGTAACATATAATTTACAAGTCATTAATGGCTGTATTTACCTAGTTAAAATGACATATGAATTGAACTTGTAGGATTTCTAATTAGGCACTGAATACAGTAACCATTAAAAAGCTTTTCATCTAATGGAATCACTAGGTAAACATAACTGTTTATTGGTAAGTCCAAATTAGTTCTATCAGTGGATATTTTTATATCTTTCATAGAAAAACACCACACATAAATACACAAAAACACTGGCCATGCATTTTTTTTTTTCCAAATTTTTTGTTCAATTTGTTCAAAAATTTCCAATGTTCAAATCATGACAATTTCAGCAGCTGGGTGAAAGCTGAATGGAGCACAGACAGAAAGAAAACCTTACCACACAACAATACCACACTACTTAACAAAACAGTGTACATATTGAAAAGCGAAATTTTCAAATACAGTGATACTACCACCCTGC